CATATGGATCGATTTACCATATGATTTGTTTTAACACGGCATCTTCTGTCCAATTTTTAGGTTTGTACCGGAGCTAAGAGTGAACATCTTTCAAAGCTAGCTGCAAGAAAGATTTTGTTTTTGCTGATTTTGTTGTTTTCTTTGGTTCTTTAGTTGTTTCCTTTGACAGAGACAACTACAGAATTTGTGGCAAAGATGGACCTTAAACCGAGACAGAAAGTCTTAGATGTTGTTTCTGAAACATTCTACCCATAGATGTTGAAAGACGCAGGCTTTGAGGATGTGTTCGCTGAAGATCGTACTGATCAGGTGACTTCTGCATAAAACATACATGTATACATTTCTTTGTATAATGGGGACTCTAACATAAACCATTTTTCGCAGTTTGTACAAGTCATGAGGCGTGAATTAGAGAGTGTGAAAAGAAAAAGAAGAATTCATCAGCGACTTCTCGGAAGTAAAAACATTTCTCACTACCAAATTCATTGAATAAAAGACCACTTTTTCATTGATCCAACATCTTTTTCGAACGTTTTTGTAATGCAGGAGGATTACAATGACATAGTTGGAGGATGGAAATCAAAGCTTGAAAGGAGTACATCTGGTGAACAAAAATGGATTTTATTCATCGCCAACAAAAAGTAGAATCCATGGTTTTACCTCAAAATTTGATAACGATTTGTGTTCCCTTCAATAAAATTGTTCCTGAGGACAATATTTGTGTTCTACTATCCATGAACCGCAAGATGTAAGAAAAATTCATGTTGTTTCTGGGTTTAATCCAATCTTTCACTGCTTTTGTTATATCTCCTCTCTGATCAAAATGAAATGGAATCATCACTACTTGAGTCGTAATTATTTAATAGACTAAAATTCATAGGAAAAAATTATTTAATAGACTAAAAAAAAAAGAAAAAAATTATTTTCATTTAACCGAAAAATTAGATCACATATATGAAATAAATAATTGCAAATTACACAAACATCTAATAGTTCTAAATTCATAAATTTGTCAATTTTTAATATATTTATTGTGATAAATATGAGTATTATTTATATCAGCAAAACTATTTTATAAAATATATTTAAAATAATAGAAACATTGAAACATAAACAATAAATTTTTATTGAAAACTACTCAATCTTTGTCTAAACAAAAAAAAAAAAACTCATATGAACCTACATGTAGGTGTGTCAAAAGGTCAATACAGATGGGTTATCCAAACCCGTCCATAATTTAAGTGGATTAGGGTTATATTTTTTACCCATATAAATAAAGGAGTCTTCGGTGGGTTACCCCTAATGGGTTTATGAATTTAGGAGATAAACTCATTAGGATCATGAATTACCGATTGATTTATCACAAATTTTATTAAAATAAAATAATAATATATATGTAAATTACTCTAAAAGGTTATCAAGTATTTTTTAAAAAAAATTAACAGATATGTTTTCTTCTTATCATCATCCAACTAAGATCGAAGTATCTTTTAAAACTAATCAATGGTTTATTGCTTTTATTGC